GGGACGGGCACCGACTGTCGGGGCGGCACGTGAGACCGAGTATCTGCCGGCCCTGAGCTGAAATCGGGCACAGATCGCCCCATCAGTGCGGGCAGCAACCACTCGGGACCTGACCGCCATCAGCCGGAGCCTGGGAAATTCGGCACAGGGCGGCCCCGGTGCAGCTGCGTCCCTTTCCTGGACGTGACCGGGTGAGGACACAGCTGCACGCTCAGCGGGGAGTGGCACCCGGATCCCAGGAGCGCACAGCTCTCCCCAAAGATGTTCCCGCAGGGACAGGGGGAAGGGTAGGGGGCTGCCCCATCCTGGACAGCAGCAGCTCCAATGTCTCCACCCCTCCTTTGGTGACAAGGACTCTGTGGGCACTGGGGCAAAAAGCCCGAGGGCCAGAAGACCTTTGAGGTGGCGTGGCCCCCACCAGCCTGCCTCAGCCATCCCTGGGTAGGAGCAGCGCAGAGCGCCCTGCACCCAGGGAGCCCGCAGGGACCCTGCTTGGCTCACGGTAAAAATGCACAAAACATGGTGGCAAATTTGTGTGGGCACGTGGAATCGGCTTGAGCTGGTGTGGAGATAAACCCCAGCTCACAGGGGGTGGAGGAACAGGGCATCATGGCAGCGGGGACTCACCACTCCTCCCTTGTCGCCCTCCATGAACTGCACGATTTGGCAGGACGATTTCTCCCACAGGAAGATGTGGCCGCAATCGCTGCCGCTCACCACAAACTCGCTTTTCGGGCCATAAAAATTGACACCTTTCACTGAAAGGAGAGAAACAAGCAGCCCGAGTGGGTGCGGGGCCGGCCCTCCCTGCCATGAATTCGCTTCCTGCCTGGCAGCCAGCGAGTTTCCAGGGTTACCGGTGTGGATCTCTTCCGTCCCCAGACACATAATAGCTCATTCTTTGCAAGCCCAAGAGTTTGTGTTAAGGGTCTTTGAGAGGAAGATGAAACGCTGGGAGCTGCAGAAACAGGCTAAAAGCAGGCAATTATTCTTCCGGGTTGCTCTGGGGACGGCCCCCCACCTCCAGACTGCCCCAAAGCCTGGTTGCAGGCATGAGGAGGGGGAAGCCACGCTCCACAGCCCTCAAAGGGGTGCAAGCAGCGAGCTTGGCCCTGCTGGGGAAGGGGACGTGGTGGTGGTAGTTTGACAGTGACCTGGGGAGAG